GGGGAGTTGAGCAGTTTTCTAGCCAAAAATTTAGATTTTAAAAAGGTGTGTGCAAACATTTAAAAAAAATTGCTTTTGGACTGAAGTAGTTAAAATGACCAATAAAATGTGTACAGACATGCTACCAGGATAACTTAATCAGCTTGCCAAATGCTCTTTATTCAAAAGTGGCACAAATTATGCCCACCTAACTTCACTGGAAGATCTTACCTTGTGACAGGGATCCACAGAACAGATCTCGCTGACATCCAGGTCATGTAAGGACATGAGAAGCTCTGCCCGTAGCGTACAATAGTGCACATTCCGCGTCCTCAAGAAGAGAGTGCGCAAGAACTGCAGGACCATATCATACAGCTTCACATTCTTTCCGATCATCTGTGTGAGTTTATGCACCACCTAGATAAATGAAAACCGGCAGATCAACAATTGGAGCAGCAGTCTGATCTGTCAGATTGTGATCATTCCTTATAGAGGTTTCCCATAATGCACTGCACAGGACCCACCTCTCCCTGCCTCCTGGTTTTTGGAGACTGACTGAAGAAGTTGTGCAGTACAGACAGCTCACTGCTGAGCAGGATATTCTCCTTCTCTAAGATGTACTGCTTGAGTAAAGGAGAGACCTCATCGCCGAACAGAGCTTGGTTGTCCTGCCAGATCTGGCGCTTAACCTCCACCGCACATGCTTTGTATAGCTCCTTGTCCGCCATCACCAGCTTCAGCTTTGCCTCTGGGACCTTATGGATGCAAAACAGCAATATTAGGCAAGTGCCATATCGTAAGGCACACTGGGGAAACCCAACAAATCTATGCCTGCTGCTAACACGAAGATCTATCTCTTCCCCAAGCCATACACTACTCAGCCTAAGGAAAGAGATAAGTGTTTTCATTATATGTGGTAAACCAATGACACTTGCTCTCTCTGCTACCCATTGCCACCTGACTGCCCTTTTTTGCTACCTACCCTCACCTGGCTACATCACAAAACAAAGCCCCCCACACACCACAAACTTGGAAAATGGAGAGGAAAAAAAATGCAAGGCCTGGCACGACATCTGTGCAACATAAGGTTCTACATATACAGAAACAAATATATAAACTCACCTTTGGTAGGTGTTTCATTACACACATCACCACAGGCTGGATGGATGGCATCTTAACCAATGCAAAACATTTTTCCAACAACTCTTCCAACTTAGTGTACCTGAAATGTAAAAGCATAAATGACAATTAAAGGAAGAAGGTGCTATATGATGTAGGACAGACGTGTTCATGCTGTACCTAACCATTACCAAGATCACACCTTTCCTGCATGTTGGTAGGCAGGCATCTTAGGCCTATCAGCATCTATTTAACCTCCATTTATCAGGAGTTCAGAGAGAGACTTCACAGATAATTAAGTTTTACCTCACAGGTCAAAAAAATAAATCAGTACGGCTAGGGACTGAGTGAGACTAAGGTCTCACATGCATATGTTTACACACTACGGCCAATTAGACAGGAGACGATTAATCTAGCAGCATTTCATTGGAGAGTGGGAGGAAACCCATACAAACTCCATGCAGTGTCCTGTGCAAAACTGGATTGGAGCCGAGGACCCCAGAGTTACAAGGTAGTAGTGCTAACCACTTGTGCAGACCCTGCTGCTTCTCATCTTATGGCTTGCTACAAAGATACAGTAGAGTGACCATTTGGGGAGAGGAAAATGAGAATATGCTTCTGCATGCCGCAAACTGATGGCATTATGTCATCTGTGGCAAAGTCACTGACTGAAGCTCAAGGACAGCTGATAATAGGTAGACTGTATTCATACACACTTGTAAAGTTACTGAGTGGTGCCAGTTGCCCTATATGCAATAGAAAATGTTATTGGGGATTTCCATGAGCCCTTTGGCACCTGTGTAACCCAGACTGTTACAAAACATAAAATTGATGTCTGCAAGTGATTTTACTCCCACCGGTTCTCATCTTTTCCTTCCAATGCAATGATTGACACTCTCTCTAGTAACTTCTCCCGTAGTTCATCAAAGACTGTCTGGTGAAACTCTAGCCGGGGGATGCCATGAAGATCCAGGAATGGCAGCGCTGACTGAAGCGATGGAAGAAGGACCCCATTTTCTGTCTAAAATGAAAAACATATCAGTAAATTCTTGCAGTGCATTTATACATGAAGAAAGATGCGCCCTGACATTTGACTAACCACACACACAGCACAACCTACATCACCATTAATAAATGCTGTTATTGGCACATATATGTGTGTGTATGTGACAAAGCAGATGATGAGGTGATTCAATCAAAAGTGCCCAAAGTAGCAGGAAGGTGATAAAGGGCAGTAGAGAGGTGCAGTCATGGGAGGGGTACTTTTATATGATATGGGGCAGCAGCAGCAGTGGTGGCAACATTCAGGGGACAGGGGGCAGCAGAGGAGGGAGGACAGTCTTGTGACAGGAAGAAGCAGTGGAGAGGGGATGGTCAGCTGGCGGGGTGGGTGGGGGGTCAGTCCGGTGACAGACAGGTAGCAGTGGGAGTAGGGTAATCAGGTGACCGGACAGCAGGTGAGGACATTCATTTGACAGAGTGGATTAGGAGAGTCACATGGTGGGGCTATTAGGAAGCAGAATTCATGTGATAAGGGGCTTTAGGAGAAATTAGGAGAAATTTAGGAGAAATTAGTCAGGTGACAGCAGGCAGCATAAGGAGGTATCAGTCAGGGGCAGTAAGAGAGGACATTCAGAAAGGCATTAGGAGAGACACGTCAGGTGACAGGGGCATTAGGAGGGATCAGTCAGGTGACATTAGGAGAGATGTCAGGTGAGAAGGGGTACCTGGAACTGCTCTATGGCTTTCAGCGGCTCGGTGCAGTTGGTCAGGGTCTCCTTTAGATCTTCCCCGTTAGCGATGCCGATCTCCTGCAGGCCAGAGAACATTCTCCCCTCACCCAACCCCCTCTTCCTTCCCCGGTTCCCGGCCGCAGCCACTCCGGCACCTGAAGCGCTCTGCTCCGGCATCTTCCCGCAGTTCGGCGCAGCTAAATTGTGTCAGATGCATTCCGGCGCTTAACCAACGTCACTTCCGCCATCAATGCAGAGCTCTACTTCCTTTTCCTTGTCTGGGCGGGGTTTGTCGGGAGTTACCCTGTTACCATGGCCACAGAAGAACCTCGCAGAACGACACCTACAGGAAAGCCGAGGGATCGCGGGCAGTATTGCTGAGCTCTGCTTGAAAAATGCTTCCTGCCTGGCTGTTCTGAAATGATTCAGTACGTTCTGAGTCTAGTAATGAACAGCACTGAGATATAGGAGGCTGCTAAAGCTCATCACCAGCTAAAATTGGGCTGCCTACTCTCCTGTCATTACCTTTGGACATAGTTCCCAAAATTGCAACAGACATTTCCATGAACTTCGGTTTTGCTGGCGTTGTAGGAGGAGAATGTACTTGAATTAGGGCGGAGCATTCCTTTAAAATGGGTGTGGTTCTACAAGAGGCATATCATGGAACTAAATACTGTATACACAGTGAGATTCATCATAAGAAGGTCACAGGCACAGCTAAGAAGGTCTTGTTAATTAATAAGATTACTTATTACAACATTTTCTCTGTACAGTCTATTCAAAGTTCTCGCAGAGAATACAGTGAACACAGTAGCGGAACTACCGCCGTAGCGGCCCACATGGCTGCTATGGGGCCCGGTGTAGTGGGGGGGCCTGGTCAGCACAGCAGGAAGGAAGGTTCTGCAGGGAGCTCCTAGTACTGGTACCATCCGACCCACAGCTACACGGGCTGCATCTCTGCCAGATGCAGACCACATAGCTGCTCCTGTCAGCTCCGGCACTTTCAGCCTGGAGCTCCGACAGTTCTGAGCCGAAAGGACTGATTAGTAAGGTCTGCTCCAGACCTTACTAATCACCAGGGATCGTGCAGGTGACTGCAGAGGAGGTGGAGGATGCCAGGCCCCAGCATCGCCGGTCCGGCAACGAAAGAAGAGGCCGGGCCCCAGCAGCGGCAGGTAAGGAACTACATGTGCAGGGAAAGGGACCCTGTCTCTGGTCTCCATCCTAACCTGCAGCATGTCTCCGGTCCCCAGTCTAACCTGCAGCATGTCTCCAGTCCCCAGTCTAACCTGCAGCATGTCTCCAGTCCCCAGTCTAACCTGCAGCATGTCTCCAGTCCCCAGTCTAACCTGCAGCATGTCTCCAGTCCCCAGTCTAACCTGCAGCATGTCTCCAGTCCCCAGTCTAACCTGCAGCATGTCTCCAGTCCCCAGTCTAACCTGCAGCATGTCTCCAGTCCCCAGTCTAACCTGCAGCATGTCTCCAGTCCCCAGTCTAACCTGCAGCATGTCTCCAGTCCCCAGTCTAACCTGCAGCATGTCTCCAGTCCCCAGTCTAACCTGCAGCATGTCTCCAGTCCCCAGTCTAACCTGCAGCATGTCTCCAGTCCCCAGTCTAACCTGCAGCATGTCTCCAGTCCCCAGTCTAACCTGCAGCATGTCTCCAGTCCCCAGTCTAACCTGCAGCATGTCTCCAGTCCCCAGTCTAACCTGCAGCATGTCTCCAGTCCCCAGTCTAACCTGCAGCATGTCTCCAGTCCCCAGTCTAACCTGCAGCATGTCTCCAGTCCCCAGTCTAACCTGCAGCATGTCTCCAGTCCCCAGTCTAACCTGCAGCATGTCTCCAGTCCCCAGTCTAACCTGCAGCATGTCTCCAGTCCCCAGTCTAACCTGCAGCATGTCTCCAGTCCCCAGTCTAACCTGCAGCATGTCTCCAGTCCCCAGTCTAACCTGCAGCATGTCTCCAGTCCCCAGTCTAACCTGCAGCATGTCTCCAGTCCCCAGTCTAACCTGCAGCATGTCTCCAGTCCCCAGTCTAACCTGCAGCATGTCTCCAGTCCCCAGTCTAACCTGCAGCATGTCTCCAGTCCCCAGTCTAACCTGCAGCATGTCTCCAGTCCCCAGTCTAACCTGCAGCATGTCTCCAGTCCCCAGTCTAACCTGCAGCATGTCTCCAGTCCCCAGTCTAACCTGCAGCATGTCTCCAGTCCCCAGTCTAACCTGCAGCATGTCTCCAGTCCCCAGTCTAACCTGCAGCATGTCTCCAGTCCCCAGTCTAACCTGCAGCATGTCTCCAGTCCCCAGTCTAACCTGCAGCATGTCTCCAGTCCCCAGTCTAACCTGCAGCATGTCTCCAGTCCCCAGTCTAACCTGCAGCATGTCTCCAGTCCCCAGTCTAACCTGCAGCATGTCTCCAGTCCCCAGTCTAACCTGCAGCATGTCTCCAGTCCCCAGTCTAACCTGCAGCATGTCTCCAGTCCCCAGTCTAACCTGCAGCATGTCTCCAGTCCCCAGTCTAACCTGCAGCATGTCTCCAGTCCCCAGTCTAACCTGCAGCATGTCTCCAGTCCCCAGTCTAACCTGCAGCATGTCTCCAGTCCCCAGTCTAACCTGCAGCATGTCTCCAGTCCCCAGTCTAACCTGCAGCATGTCTCCAGTCCCCAGTCTAACCTGCAGCATGTCTCCAGTCCCCAGTCTAACCTGCAGCATGTCTCCAGTCCCCAGTCTAACCTGCAGCATGTCTCCAGTCCCCAGTCTAACCTGCAGCATGTCTCCAGTCCCCAGTCTAACCTGCAGCATGTCTCCAGTCCCCAGTCTAACCTGCAGCATGTCTCCAGTCCCCAGTCTAACCTGCAGCATGTCTCCAGTCCCCAGTCTAACCTGCAGCATGTTTCCAGTCCCCAGTCTAACATGTGGCATGTCTCTGGTCTCCCATCCTAACCTGCAGCATGTCTCCAGTCCCCAGTCTAACCTGCAGCATGTCTTTGGTCTCCATCCTAACCTGCAGCATGTCTCCAGTCCCCAGTCTAACCTGCAGCATGTCTCCGGTCCCCAGTCTAACCTGCAGCATGTCTCCGGTCCCCAGTCTAACATGTGGCATGTCTCCAGTCCCCAGTCTAACCTGCAGCATGTCTCCAGTCCCCAGTCTAACCTGCAGCATGTCTCCAGTCCCCAGTCTAACCTGCAGCATGTCTCCAGTCCCCAGTCTAACCTGCAGCATGTCTCCTCCAGTCCCCAGTCTAACATGTGGCATGTCTCAGGTCTCCATCCTAACCTGCAGCATGTCTCCAGTCCCCAGTCTAACATGTGGCATGTCTCAGGTCTCCATCTAAACCTGCATCATGTCTCCGGTCCCCAGTCTAACATGTGGCATGTCTCTGGTCTCCATCCTAACCTGCAGGATGTCTCCAGTGTCCAGCCTATTTTGCAGGATATCTCTAGTCTCCAGCATAACCTGCAGCATGTCTCCATTCTCCAGCCCAACCTGTAGCTTGTCCACAGTCTCTGACCATCATCTCACAGTCTCTGACACTGCTCTCCAGCATAATATACTGTATATATACTGAACACTATGTGGAGCCCTTTGTGGTAATATCGGGGGCTGCAGTTTAGCCCCCCCCTTTCCTTTTACTGTTCTAAGGTCTAAGAATGTAGGAGCATGACAGCACTGGAAGCGGCACCATTAAAAATGATAGTCCTAGCTACTGTACCGGTATGTCCTAACTCATAGACAAGGTAAGCTGGGATATTTTATGTAGTCAGCTCAACGCAGTGGTGTGTGCTGAAAAAAGTACTACACGCGGTATACTGCATCACAACGTGCTGCAGTGAATAGAGCTTTGCGACACTTTGTGCCATTTCAATAAAGTTTGAGTGGAAAAAGGTACGGTGCGGAGCGCTGTTGTTTTCAGCACATTGGCACAGCTCCCGACAGCTCATACTAGTAGCAGCTTTCTAATGCAATCGCTCGTGTGAACAATTCCTACTAGTCCCTAAACAAGAGTTGAGGTTTACAGTTGCTCTTCTACTAACATTGTGAGGGTAATTTATCCAAACTGGGGGAGGCAGAATCGGAGCAGTTAGCCAGTGCAACCAATTAGCTTCTATCTTTCATTTTCAAAGCTTAACTGAACAAACTGAAGATAGAAGATGATTGGTTACTACTATGGGCAACTGCTCCAGATTCTGTCTGCTCCACTTTTGATAAATCCCCCCTTGTGTGTTTTCTAGAGAGGCTAGCAATGGCTGCATTCATTTTAAATGGAATTAAAGTGATACTAAACCCTCAGATTTTTTTAACATAAAACAATACTGTAATGTGTGCCTTACTGTAATCCATGGTAGTTTCCCTTCTCTTTGCTGCTCTTCCTTTTAAATCCTCATGTCTTCTCATGCTTGGGGAGAACTTCCCTTTTCAGCTCAGGGCCTTTTCCTGTAGTGCTGGCTCAGGTTGTGAACCTATACAAACCTATACACAGACACCGTGTATCCATTCCTGAGACAATGAGTCTGCTGCAAAACAGAAGTTCTGCAGAGCATGAGAACAGATACAGATTTAAAAGGAAGAGCAGCAAAGAGAAGGGAAACAACCATGGATTACAGTAAGGCACACATTACACTATTGTTTTATGTTAAAAAATCTGAGGGTTTAATGTCACTTTAAGGCTCACCATACACATTACAATCTGATCATACAGTCTTTGCTTAACTTTAGTTTGCCCAAACTTTGTAATAGGAGGACCTGCCTAATCCATCTAATCACTTTGTACCCAATCAGGCAGGCCATTGAACTACATAGTTGTGATCTAAGCGCAGATTCACACCCAAGCATTTTGTCAAGCATTTCCCCACATGCAACAAATTCTCAATATCAAAAATCCCCAAAATTGTGTCTCTTCACTTCAGTGTCCAGGTGCTCATAACTTGACACTTTTTGCGCAAAAACACACATGAGCATAGTTTAGTTTTATCCCATATACTTCATTGGGAGCACCTGTAAACACACACATTTTCACATTTGTTTGTGCATCTTCTTCACATGTACAACTGCTTTCCTCTCCCTATTGAGCCTAGCCCTGGAAAAGAAAATGGAAGATTCAGGATTAGCATTTCTGGAGGTGGAGGCTATCAGCCACATGAGAGCCCACTGGAATCCCAGAGATTCTCAATATAAGAGCCAGAGCAAGAGAGAAAGGTTCTAAGAGGAAATAGTGAGACCGGTGTTCCAGGATTGGGAGA